CAATGCATGCATACGTAAATAATTGTTTGAAATACCCACATTTTAAAATGATTTAAGAACAATTTTTTGATTTAAACACTTTTTTATCCGATGAACTTACTTAACTATCAACGTGCACCAACGGTCATCTTTTATTTGAATGTGAGATTTCCATGGTTTGGAGTATCAATTTTCAATAAATCAACCGTTAAGTTAAGGCAACTGTTTATCTCAAATCCTTAAATATCTATTTAGTTTTAAGTTCAAGTTTTAATTTCTCTAATCTAACTAAGTTTAAGTTCGTCTTTCCTCGCTTTGCAGCATTTTGATTATATTCTTTGTCTTATTGTTTCAACATTAATACATGCAGCTGTATTAAACATATACAAACTGGCTGCGACACGCAGCCTGCGTTCGACAGATTTTCTTTTGATTACTTTGCCACGTGCCATTTGGCCAGTGATTCGAGCGCTAAACTTTTCAAATTACTGGTAGGTATTGCTTGAAATGCTCAAATAAACAATATTTGGTTTCAATCTGAGATGTTCTATAAAATTCAGTAAGGATTTTATGTGCCAACAGTTTGAAGACAGTAACAGCAAGACATTGACTGATATTCAGTGGGACCTTAAGAACTCAGCTGGGTTATTTTTATTTTTTTTACACCAAGAAACTAATGGTAATTATTATAATGCATAGCTTAGTTCATAAAGGGATGTAGGTTTTTGCTTGTGTATTTTAAGATATTTTCGATGACGACTATACTGGAATATGAAACATCTGAAAACCAAATATGTTCAATTATAGTTCAAATATTTACTTTAATTTTTCCACATATTTTATTTGAGAAAGTTTTGAGTTTAGTGAGCCCAGGTATGTGCATTGTAACGTGAATATATCCGATCAGAACTTTTTATATTTCTCTATTAAGTCTATTTAATGTTTTTTTTAGTTGTAATTTGCTTTGTTGATTGAGTCTTCACTTTCTGACTTTGCTTCTACCTCTCCTATTTTATTCGTTTGTTTACGGGGATGAAATCGATAGCTGTTCAAATGTTTTCGAGGTTTGCTTTTCCCGATAAAAGGCCACGTGATGTGCGTTTGTAAACGGTTTTAATGAAACTGTAGTCCACTGCGAGATTATGTGATTAACTAGTTATTTTTGGAGCAGATTTTGAAAAAGGAAACGTTGATTAAAATGCAATAATCGAGGATTTATGTGTTTAAAAAGGTTGAGTCTGGTCAACAGATTAACTTTACTTGACGAACTGTAGAGTTACAGTTAAACAATAATTTCCACGAATTGACCTGTATGGATTCTATTGAATAATTGTATGATTGTTCCTGTTTCAGTACACATTTTCTTTTCGTTTTGTGAAAACTGTAAACTTTGTTTCAGTGTTCAGTCCATTGGCCACCAAATCGAGCCAAAGCTTTTGCGAAATAAAAATTAAATACTTTTTGAAATGACTAAAATCACCAATTCGTAAGCTGTTTACAATTCTATCCCACTTACTCGGTGTTTGATCATTTGTCGCCTTTAAATGTTATGTATTATTTACTTTTGAGTTCTGCTAGTTTTCAGTTCAATTTTCTTCAGTGAACAGTAGCAATATTTTGCAATTTCTTTTTGTAGACACAGTCGAGATGTATGAATGATTTTTTACTAGTTTTGTTATAACTAAATCGTTCGAATTCTTCTTGGAAAACAAGTTATTTTCATTTCAGACTGGAAACTCAACAGTGTCCGTTGAATCCTACTACATCATCTAAATAATTGGTTCTGACTTGGATTGTATCTGCCATTTACCCAATTTCGTTATCCGATAAGCGTCGAATTCTACGTTTTTATGTGCCCTTATTCGCCTCCATAAAAAATCAGCACCGCTAGTACGTAATTTAATATAAAGATTGAACTAATACGGGACCTTCCATCGAACGGATTTCGGTTTAATCAATTTTTTCAGCGTAATTTAATATGTAATGCGAAGTTTGCGCTACATTATTAAAGCATTCCTAATTAAACGTCACACATGGTATTACAGTTTACAATCAAGTAAAGTTTCACACTAAATTCCATTCAACGACTATGTGCTAATTAGTTATGAATCACCTCAGATTTACATTTCGGTGATCCCACTCGAAATTCCGCTCCGAACCTAATTTGCGCGCAACTTGATTGATTTTAAATAATTACTAACAGTTTACCTTTTTGCAAAAGCGAACACGCAACTTAATTAATCATGCATTTCAGTGTTTCCGATATTCTCATTTGGTACCGGGCTTGGAATATTCAATCAAAATTCGGTTTGAGTTTTGCACGTTATAAACATCTACCCTCAATTTAAACTTTCGTTCGGGCACATAAAGGGTGGACCGGACCAATTTTCTTTCGTTTGGAAATTTGAGCACGTCGACCCTTGACGACCCTGGATATATTCGCTAATAATGTATTTCTCGTATGAGACTAGTTTCCTGCTATTTAATGTCTTCCTGCTTCCTTCAAGAGAGTTTGCTATTTTGTTATTATTTTTTTAGCGAGTTTTCTCTCAGTTAATCCGTATTTATTCACTATAATTATTTAATTCGTTCTTTCCTTTATTTCGATATTTCGAAAAATAGTTCGCAATTGATTTCTTTGCTTTGAATTTTTACCAGAAATTTACAGTATTTAGAATTTAGTAGTATTTTGTTCATTTGGCAGCACATTTGATAAAAACTCAAACAATATCCAGATTGGAATACTAATTATTGAAAAAGCTAAAAACATTGTCAAGATGTCTCAAGTAATGGACGTTGGACCAAGTTATTCCAGTTTTGATAAAATTGTATTGTGCGAAATTCACTAATTATCATACAACAGGATGGTTTACTGCGGAGAAGCAACGAAGAAGGTTACCTGTGTTTTTCCCAAAGAACATTGTTCCATTTAACACACCCTCTATATTATTCTATACACCCATATTTGAATAAATCATGCGCAACTTATTTTTTTAAGGGAATAATTTAATTTCTCTACAACTCTTATATAATGACTATAATTTGAGACTCTTTCAAAGGTCATAATTATGTTTATTACCGCACTAATGCTTTTTTCAATTTTACGACGGGACTGGTGTGGTAATAAATTTGTCTATGATTGTCAAAATTGTGTCTTAAAATTGCACTTTCTTAAAATATACTAATAATCGTTTCTCGCTTGTTAAGTTGAGTATCTTTCGTTCACTGCACCATTTCGGGTACCGATCAAAAGCTTGCGTGAGTTAAGTGATTAATCACATACGTGAGTTAATAATATTCATATCCTACTGGTTACGGAATTAACTATTAAATGGCAGTAAAAGTTTATGATAGATAATGCTTTTTTTGTATATTTTCGAAAGTGCGTTGACTAATATACTCTTGATTTCTTCGGGCATTACCTAATGCACGTAAATGATTTGATGGCGATTTGGTAAATAAAAGTTTTTGATAAAAAACTGAAAATCTTACTCAATATTATTTCTTTGACAAGCGTTTCTTGGTTAACGCTAAATAAGCTTTCTTATCTTTTGTTAAAAGTTCAATAAGTTGGCTGTTTTTCCAGACCAAAATTGGAAAAAGTAGGTCAATGGTGTTTGATGCAATTGTTAAAGAAAAGTTTTTTCTTTAATTTACTTACTTAAAAATTACTAAGAACATGCATTCAAAATTTGATTGAACTGAAAATAATGATATATTTGTGAATTTTTTTGCCTACAATTTAACGTTTTTTTTTATCCCCTAGTGGAAAGTACGTACTTTCATCACTATTTTCGATGGCAAAAGCATCACTTTTACGCATTACAAATTATCTTCATTCCGTGTGGAAAGTAATAACTTTTGCTACGCACGCTCATAGCTTGACTTTGTCACTGACTGTCAGCTGACTGTTGACAACATTTTCAAAGCCGTTTTTTTCAAAAGCTTATACTTTTCCCGGCTAGTTTCCATCGAGGATTAAGAAAAATAGTATACGGTACGCGCGAGTCGAGATTCCGCCACTGCTTGAAGTTGACGCCCGAGGCGAAGCTGAGGGCGTCATGCTCTTGTGCCATAATATACTATGTTCTGAACAATTATCAATAGACCAGTACGCTTCCAAACAAATTTAACGCTTATAGAAAAGCTTACTCGACCGAAATGTTATAAGAATATCCTCGGACCAAGTGTGTAATGCACTTAACATTAAAAAAAGACACATTATTTGTGAAGCGCAACCACTAGATAACATCATTTGACCATCGTAACTAAGGAAACTTTTTGGAAAAAGCTTTCGCTTACGTTTACGCTTTCTCTAGGAAAAGGAAAATTATTTTGCACACTTTTCGACTCGTTATAGCGATTTTAGACCCAGTTGAAGCGACTGAATGTTTACTTTTAGTCAGTAAACCGATTTTAATTTCTTAAGCTCGCAACCTCATGGGCTTACTAGAGCAATTAAATTTCGTAATTTCGATTACCAAATTGTTAATATATCCACGCTTATTAATTATTATCGGATTTATTTAATGGGTTAAAAATACTATGAGCTAAATATTGAAGATAATTGAACAATTGAACGTCGTTGATATAGTTTGTTCGTAGATATAGTTTTTATATAAGATCCTCCAATCGAAAGTGTAAAACTGTCTTACAGAACACCCCTTTTGCTAGCAACTAACTAAAATAAAAGTGGTTTTTACAGCCCCTCAAACTCGGTATTTACGAATTACCTCCAGACAGTTAATCGCGGCAAACGCAAAAGGTAACTTAATTAAGCATACAATGCCCCGTTTCAGACATTCCAATTTTTCAAGAATTTGCATATTAAGACAAATTTTTGCCAGAGTTTTACAGTATTCTGCCGCAATGAGCTTTCATTTCAGATAATTGTGGCGAGAACAGTACCCACTTTTTGTAAATTTATCAATTTCAAATTAATTTGGTCGATAATAATGACTAAAATTTTATAAAATACAACATCTGCTTTGCAAGTTAGTGATTATTACGTTTATTTTCAGGACAGCACTGTAGTCAAAAGGGGTATCGGTCGGCGTTGGACCAGCTTAAAACAACATCCCAAATTATTTTCAGAATCGCCAAACGACAGTGGTGAGTAAATTAGAATAGTTATACAGGAAAAGGTTAAATAAGGAGTGTTCACATATCATTGTAAAACACAATTATTTAGTGCTCATTACTTTTAACAATTTTATATGTATTACGACTTAACAAGTGCAAATTTTCGAATTATACAGTTTGGAAATGACTTTACACAGCACAATAGCTAGAGGTAAAAGTACAAGCATTCAGGTTGCTTTATAAAATCATTAAAAGTCTAAAAATATCTTTATTTACGACGCTAAAAAGTCTAAAAGACTATTGACTGGCACGCTCTCTCTAGCAATAGCATTTTAAGTCGGCCATAAGTTCTTTAGCACGGCGGTTAACCCATTAAACTCTTCAACAATTCACACATCACTTTCAAACTCAAGACTAGATGGAAACAGGAGCGGGTTTTAAAAGCTCGAATTGCTTTGAACGAAAATACATGCGTTATTGAAATCGTCCAATAATAGTGGGTGCGATTTGTTAATAAAGTTTTTTTTTTAAATCGAATACAATTTAAAAGCCAAGTGAATAGGCAATTAAACCAAAGAAAACAATATTAAAAATTAATTTAAATTCTATTTATCATTGTTCTAGACTCATTATTCAAGTAGTTTCCAAGTCAATAAATCTAAGACAAAACAACATTAATTTTCAATATAAAAAAATCCATGCAATACCATATAGAATGAATTTTCTTTCAGTTGTAAAACCTTCCCTACAAATATCAGAACACCCGTGCTTTTCTTTTTACGATAGCACATCAATAACAAAATTGCCCTATTGTGTAGGAAGTTTTATCTTTTTTGGCCCGAAACATTGTAAAGGGCATACACGGTTTTAATTGAAGCTTTGTAAAGGTTTCTTGCCTCAAGGCACAGAATACGCCGTACAATTGTAGGTACTAAATTAATTGTTGTATTTAATCTGTTGGGTATAAACTATATTGCCCATCGAGATAAAGTTTATATCTTCAAATATGTTGCCATAACTTCCATAAAGTAGATCTTTGAACGTTTCATGTGGTTAATTTTGAGCGCATAAATTCATCTGGAGTATATCTACATCTAGCGTGATTAACTGAGCAAGTCAAATTTAGGTTACAATTTAAATCAAGAAAATATACTGGTGGTACAATTTTGGAAATATTTCATTTAAATATGCTAAGGAACAAGTTGTCCTGCTACAGAAGCAGTCCTCATTTACACTGCTAATCTGATAATTCCATAAAAAAATTGCAAATGAAAGTTTAAAAACAACGTAATTTAAATTATTCTAAGTATTTATTTTTTGTTGATTTATTCTCGGCTGTACCTAGGATCGGTGTTTTAAATCGATCATCTTATGTTTTAAAATATGCTCAATTTATAATTTGCTTGAGTTTACTTCCCGCTAAATAATTATTGAGGCTAAACACAGCTGTAAGTTATTCGACTTTCAAGAGTAGTAGTAAGTTACAACACGTATTTCGACTTCACTTCACTGGTAAATTTTCATAAAATCTCAAGCTTTTACTGCTGAATTACCGCATTTCTTTGGGACAAGTCTTATGACAAAGAATGAAATAAGTCATCATAAATAAATAATGTTTACGTTTTAATTAGCATTTTTCACTTTTGGCTTTATAGTATTGACCGTAGTTTTAAAAGCTTTCTGGAAATAGTTATATTTATATTTTTTAGATCAAATTTTGTATATTACTGTTACTCTTTTAACGAAAGTATATTTAAGTAGTATATTTAAGTAGTACGTTTGGAGTTTATTGAATTAAATTGAATAGCCGTGGATTGAAGAATTGCTCATGCAGAGATTTCTGGCCTTCTAAACATGAGATCAGACAAGAACAACAATTTCATATGAATAAAAAGGGAATATAAAGAAGTTATTACTTTTGTCAAAAGATAAATCAATTGCATTACAATTGACTCAAAATTCGAAATCAAAACGCATTTAGGAACCACCAGGACTGAAATCACCAACATAGCAAAACACTTTCGATCCCTAAGTTACAAGTTGGGCTATGGACATATTATTAGAACAAACGCACGGGAAAAATTAAAACGAAGATGCAAGCCACTGAACAAATCACACGCACAGTCATTCAAATTAATTAACATGCGAAGGTAGAATTATGAAAAAATTAATAGAAGACAAAATCGAAAAAGAACCTCCACAACTGGAGAATTATAGAGCCCTTGTGCCTCATAAAAGGAACAAGAGAAAATTCCGTTTCGTTCTTCCGTCGGCCTCCCTAATTTAACAATTGCGTCGGGCAAATAATTAAAAGGAAATGTACCGAAATTACATCAAGCCTTATTACTAACAGCGCTGCAAGCTAAAAACATGTGTGATATCAAATATAATGGCAAACATTTAAAAATAAAGTACCTCCGGCTGCACGTCGCTAATTATCTAATGGAAATGGAAATAACCACTACCCACATTAAAGTGTCGATTGGAAGGCTCAATTTATAAGCAGAACTGTATGAAAGTGAAAAGAATAAAACACTACGCATACATTAACAACTGCAGATAGAACAAATTCTAAAACAGAACATATTTGATTTTTAGAAACATTCTGATTTGAAATTTTCAGATTTCGAATCTTACGTGGTATGCTATTGGCCGCACACCCATTATTTTTCTTAGAAACCATCTATGCAAAAAATATTTAATGTGTTTCTTTCTAAACTCAATTCTAATGGACAATTTTGGTGGTCAAAACGATAGTTGTAGCTTTAAGTTTGGGACACCCTGTTTGCACCGGGCCGATAAATATACTGTGTCCCAAATCTGACACTCATCATTGTCCAAAATAACAAGAGACCTTTAAATGAGTATAGCAGCTCTTATAAGAACAAATAAGCATTCAAAATAATATTTCCAATTATGAGCTTTATATGGAAACAGGTTTTACTCATTTAGTATTTATCGAAACCATATGAGAAAAAAAGTTTAACATTGTCACGACAATTATCAATGGTTTATTATTTCAGGCCGATTTTTTTGTTGTGAAACATTTAATTTTGAAGATGCATCTTGCACTTATCGATTTCAATTTGGTCGCCATATAGAATGATTTCCATAAAAAGTCGTTACGATCTGAACCTGAGCATAATAGGAATTATTAGGAATGTATTTATCTCAGGATACGTATGTAAATTGTTTAGGACTTAAATTAGCACGATTATCTCACATTCAAATTTCAATTTTTGAAGAGAATTCCCTCTGTAAAGTAAATTATATACCAACTCTAATATATCTATAAGATGTCGTAGCTCTAAAGTTAAGGTATGAGGTGCTTAAAGCGTGGGTCTATTTTGAATCAATCAATATGCGGAAATGTTAGTGAAGTAAATTGTAGAGCCGTATTAGTGTTGTATTACAAGAGAATAATTACAAATCGGATGTGCGAAACGCAAATAAAGGTCTTATTGGATACATCTAGTGAAACTAAATTATATCTTGCAACGTTCTGGTGTTTATTGTAGGAAGTTGAGGTTCTGTTCGTGGTTGAATTGATGTATAAAGGACTTTAATTTCAAAACTAATCACCCTAAATATATTTTAAAGAAATTTCAACAATTAAACAAAATTTGTCGTCGTAAAAAATATGTCGACTTAGATCAGGAAAAGAAACTTCTATGACATTTTTAATTTAGCTACTTAATTTTAATTATTTAGTTTTTTATTTTACTAAGCCACCAGCCTCAACTACCATCACTTAAATATTTCAAATGGCATCTCCCACCGCGTGAGAAATCATTTTAAGGATCATAAAATTATCTATCCAATGAAGGAAGACAAAGTAAAATCGTCTGGTCAGGATTTCGAAGGCAAAATGTGTCATATGAATACCGAAATATTAATCGACAAAAAATCTGGCACTTATTGATTTTACGTTCCAAATTTATTGATGCATTAATAAAAATTAATTGCAGTTATTCGTAAGGGAATAGTAGAAATTGTTATGAAAATGTTCGCATTGCTTAGAACGTTCCCCAACATGTAAGCAAACATGCTATGCGTTCTTGTGAAATTCGATTCTTTGGCTCTCGAATACTATTGGTAGGATTTTGTAAGCAATTATTTTAACCGTTTTAAAATGACCCTATAGGAAAAGTCTAGAGGAGTCAGATCTGGAGATCTTACTGGACCTTGAAATAGAGCGACGTCTAGCTGGATAGGGAGATTTCCTTTACCAACGAGAGTTATTATATGATCAGTAGTGATTATAATTGTGTTTTCTAGAATTCCTACCCAAACATTGAGCCTACACGGAAATTGGAAACGTATCTAGATAGCCATATCTCGATCTTCTAGAAAATGTGATACAGCCACTAATATAATGTTTAGAAAATCAAACTAACGCAAATGTTACCATGCTCTTTAATAAAGGAAACCGCCATTTCCACCCAGACTGAGCTCTAGTTCATGTTGTTTTAACAGTTAGAGAGTGGTTACATTATCGGTACCCCGGCAAATAGATCAATAGACGATGTGCAATAGAATGTGCAGCAGGGATACCGGATCTGACTCCTCTAGACTTTTTCATATGAGATAATTTGAAAAATATTGTTTTTGCAAGCAGACTTTAGAGATGGAAATAATACATCCAAACACTACCACCCACAGTCATCGAGAGCAATGAAAAAAATCAGAAATTACCCAAAAAGTTCACGCAATAAAGACACAAGAAATGGAAAATCTACCGGTTCTGACAAAATAAACGTTGAAGTACCTAAATTAATAGCAGGAAACGAAAGCAATAGCCTGGACTTAATAACATCTGTTGAGGATTATTTGTCCTATTATTAAAAATGCGTACTACCGTATCTGGCAACATTGCATAAAAACGTTCGATGAGATGTCAATAAAAATATATAGCAGAACCACGCAAAAAGATTGTTTGATACATCTTTGTGCAGAGTGCGCTAATCCTAAAAAAACGCAAAATACAGTCCACTACAAAACACCAGCAAGAGGGAACATCATTTAATAATATATATAACTCCCGCAAAATACGATCAGATTAGCTAAGGTCAACATTCACAACAAAACTTCCAAGAAAAGTCGGTTGTCCCATCATCTTAAAACTTGCCTCAAAAGCATTCGTACACGAATATACAAGAAGTGCAAATAGTTGATAAATAACATTAAATTTGGATTCAGAAACATACATTGTACATTTTTGCGGACTTCCGAAAGGGCATTGATCGCGTTCACCATCAAAATATTATCGAGATTCTGCAAACAACCGGGGTCCACGAACAGGACCTCATTTCATAACTCGCTGGCACCAAACGGCCGACGTTAATATAGAACAAGCAACATCGGAAGACATGTAGATTAGGGAAGACCGACAGGATTGTGTTCTGTTTCCGCTTCTATTTAATTTGTACTACGAGTCGATATATKCAGAGAARCATTAGACGAGAAGCAAGGGGGAATTRAGATCAACGATCAACAGAACCACGATCATCAGGTACGCTGACGACACGGCCATAAAAGCAAACAACGCACAAATCTCMAAAATACAATAAATGCAGTAGTGTGTAAGAGAGAAATGYTCTGCCTSATTCTGAATATCTCRAAACCCAAAATAATAGTCAAGGTACAAACAATTGAATGAACAATTGATCATCCAGTGCATTTCGAGAGAAATACTATCAAGAAAGCGAGGAATGTTTTCATGCTCATAAGTGTTACATTGTTTACAAGATCAGACCTTAACATAAGATTTCGAATTTGTATGGTTAGATGTTACATTTYCTYTATCTTACTCTACGGGTCTGAAASATGGACGATGGACTCAAACAGAGAAAAAATAGAGGCTCTTAAAATATATACACATTTCATAGACGAATGCTACGAATTCAATGGGTACAAAGGATCACTGACGACAGAATACTCCAACGCATGGGCAAACAAAAAAAATAACGATGGCTAAACACCATCAGGGAGTGATGTGCTGAGACAAAAAAATACGAATTACTTCCACTCATAACAGAGGGTAAAAGATCAGTAGGAAGACGCCAAAATTCAAGATTGAAAGATCGGTTATTGAAGAAGGTTAGACGGCTCATCCACACAAATATTTGGTGCTGCAGTTTCCAAAGCAAATCGGCAAGCTTCAAACGAGAGGGCGCAGTAAGAAGAAGTTTAGACCTTTATTTATTAGTAAACAAGAAAAACCGAATATCACAAGAATGAATAATGTCAAATTTTGATTAATGCTAGTGAAGACTTTGAAAAGAAAGTATACTATTGCCTCGTGAATAATGTAGAACATTTTGAACAATTCATAAAATAAAATATAAACATGAAATCAATAAATTATTAGGTATTTTGTAGATTTATTTTCTGTCTCGACATGGCACAATTTTTCTGCTAAATCCTGAGCTAGTCATCCGATTTTACATTTTTCTACACCTGTGGATAGAGAATTTTACTAATTCTCTTCATTTATGTGTAACTGGGACGGGGATACCATTGGAATTGTTTTACATTTTGGCAGTTGGGGGCACAGGGCTGACTGTGAGAATTAAATAGTCGACATTTTTGTTGTATATGTTATACTGAATTGTTTTGTATGTTTTACTGCGTTTAATTTCCAATCTAAGTGCAAGATAGTTATTTTATTGTGATACCCTTTTAATGGTATAAACTCTGCTTTATCGAGAATGTCATGAAAGTTTATGGAGGATAAACCCGACATGTCGTCCTAATCCTATTTGTTGGCTTCGCCTTATTATGACCGCCAATGTTTAATCCAACGTTAGCTGTAAATATGATACCTGTCCTACTAACCAATCGCAATTAGCAACTCCAAACTTAATTGCACGGAAATGTTACAAAGCTGAATATTGTCCGTAATCGCGGACGTTTCTTATTCGGATTTTGGGTTTTGCTAAATTATTATTTGTGTGTTTGGTACATCTAGCATGCTGCTGCCCCCGTTATTTTGTGTTTTTAAATATTTTTACCCATTTCTGTGTGTTTCAGGCACCGACACAACCACTCCTCTTTCAACTCCCACGTCCACAGCCACAACCAGCCCATTTTCGGGTGGCGGCGGCACATCGGGAAGCGTTGGAGTATCAGGAGGTGAAATTACCAGGAAAAGTAACTGGCAAGTGATTGAGCATTTTGGTTCCAAAGACAAAGGAAGTTTATCTTCAAGTTTAATAGCGGTAAGTTTTGAAATTTTACTTCTTCTGTAGCAACATCGCTTCTGACTATTGAGTGTTTATCTAATTTAATATGTTTTACTCATTAGGCTAAAGCTGTTTGGCGTTCTGTTGTTCTGCACTTATGCGAAAAATATTATTTTAGGTCATTGCACTATTGCCAAACCTATTTTACTTACTTACACTTAGTTTGGTTGAAAAACCCCTATTTCTTTAGACATCAGTAAAGCGCGGAATATATGCAGTTAAATTCAATCAAAATATGCGCATATATATGCATAATTTTTATTCCAAATATGTAATTATATGCATTTATTTGGCCAAATATGTAATGGTATGCATTTATTTAACATGTGAAATTACTTTTAAAAACATACAAACATTGATTTGATGGA